CATCAGACCCTCTCTCTCCATCAGACCCTCTCTCTCTCTCTCTCCATCAGACCCTCTCTCTCTCTCCATCAGACCCTCCCTCTCTCTCTCTCCATCAGACCCTCTGTCTCTCCATCAGACCCTCTCTCTCTCTCCATCAGACCCTCTGTCTCTCCATCAGACCCTCCTCTCTCTCCATCAGACCCTCTCTCTCCATCAGACCCCCTCTCTCTCCATCAGACCCTCCCTCTCTCTCTCCATCAGACCCTCTCTCTCCATCAGACCCTCTCTCTCTCCATCAGACCCTCTCTCTCTCCATCAGACCCTCTCTCTCTCCATCAGACCCTCTCTCTCCATCAGACCCTCCCTCTCTCTCTCTCCATCAGACCCTCTCTCTCTCTCCATCAGACCCTCTGTCTCTCCATCAGACCCTCTCTCTCCATCAGACCCTCTCTCTCCATCAGACCCTCTCTCTCTCTCCATCAGACCCTCTCTCTCTCTCAGACCCTGGTGCAGAAACAGGTCCTTCATGACATTTGTTTCAGGGGGTTTTCTAGAAAGATATAATATGAGTGTCTCTGACCTTGTTGATAGACCCTCACCCTGATTACCCTCTGTAATGGGGAATATATTCACATGTATTTGTACTTGATTAATAGGAGCTGATGCAACATATATTCATTTGTGATAATATCCTGTGACGGAGTATTTCTACGTTCTTTAAAATGTGCCCTGTGTTTTCCTCATTAGCCGTTAGCATTAGCAGCTACATGATGCTGGAGACAAAGAACTCTTATCTGATACACATGACTCAGCAGGTGTGTGTGTGTGTGTGTGTGTGTGTGTGTGTGTGTGTGTGTGTGTGTGTGTGTGTGTGTGTGTGTGTGTGTGTGTGTGTGTGTGTGTGTGTGTGTGTGTGTTATCTGGGTTTCTGTGACCTCGGTCCTGACCCCCCCACCTGTGCCATCATCAGGTAACTCACCTGAACACCTGCAGGGGTCAAAGGGCAACCCTCTACTTTCCCATGACCCCTGACCCCCCCCCCCCCCACACACACTTAATACCTGTAAACTTTGAGGTGTGTTTGTTGTTCTGAGGGATTCAGAAACTCCCAGCATGCACTGCTGCGCCTCATTTCTGTGATCAGTGAGAGCATCGATTGTCAGATTTCTTCATCACGACTCCAGCAGAATCAATCAATCACACACACACACACACACACACACACACACACACACACACACACACACACACACACACACACACACACACACACACACACACACACACACACACACACACACACACACACACACACTCTTTACTGATGGATTTTCAGGTAAAAAGGTGCGTGTACAGAACTCTGAATAGATATCCCTGATGTTCACCTGACGTCCAATCAGTGCGGCTCGTTGTAATTCCTTTAACACCCCCCCCCCCCCTCGTTAATGTGAGTAGTTAAAGCTGTCCCTGAACTCTTCCTCAGAGCAGATCAACACCTGTCACGTTTAAGTGAAGCTGTAATCATGGGCCTTTTAAAACAAAATACATATAAAACAATATATCAGCAGGAGAGGACTCTTTAAAGTAGAGACACTACATACTGATATACACCTGAACATCAGCAGGAGAGGACTCTTTAAAGTAGAGACACTACATACTGATATACACCTGAACATCAGCAGGAGAGGACTCTTTAAAGTAGAGACACTACATACTGATATACACCTGAACATCAGCAGGAGAGGACTCTTTAAAGTAGAGACACTACATACTGATATACACCTGAACATCAGCAGGAGAGGACTCTTTAAAGTAGAGACACTACATACTGATATACACCTGAACATCAGCAGGAGAGGACTCTTTAAAGTAGAGACACTACATACTGATATACACCTGAACATCAGGAGGAGAGGACTCTTTAAAGTAGAGACACTACATACTGATATACACCTGAACATCAGCAGGAGAGGACTCTTTAAAGTAGAGACACTACATACTGATATACACCTGAACATCAGCAGGAGAGGACTCTTTAAAGTAGAGACACTACATACTGATATACACCTGAACATCAGCAGGAGAGGACTCTTTAAAGTAGAGACACTACATACTGATATACACCTGAACATCAGCAGGAGAGGACTCTTTAAAGTAGAGATACTACATACTGATATACACCTGAACATCAGCAGGAGAGGACTCTTTAAAGTAGAGACACTACATACTGATATACACCTGAACATCAGCAGGAGAGGACTCTTTAAAGTAGAGACACTACATACTGATATACACCTGAACATCAGCAGGAGAGGACTCTTTAAAGTAGACACTACATACTGATATACACCTGAACATCAGCAGGAGAGGACTCTTTAAAGTAGAGACACTACATACTGATATACACCTGAACATCAGCAGGAGAGGACTCTTTAAAGTAGAGACACTACATACTGATATACACCTGAACATCAGCAGGAGAGGACTCTTTAAAGTAGAGACACTACATACTGATATACACCTGAACATCAGCAGGAGAGGACTCTTTAAAGTAGAGACACTACATACTGATATACACCTGAACATCAGCAGGAGAGGACTCTTTAAAGTAGAGACACTACATACTGATATACACCTGAACATCAGCAGGAGAGGACTCTTTAAAGTAGAGACACTACATACATCTGATGAAGTAGAATATGTCATCTTAAATACTCTGAGATTACTACATGGTGTTTCTCAGATACTTTATAAATAACATGCGGATGTTCTGGAAAATATAGACTGCAGAGGGTAAACACACAGCAGAGCATTTCACTTAAGAGGTCAAAGACCTGCAGAATGAAAAACATTCAATATCCACTCAGAGGACCTTCACACACACACACACACACACACACACACACACACACACATACTTTGAAAACACAAACAGTGACCGGTGCATTTGTCCAGGTCCTTTAATAATCTGCCGAATGCAGCCAAGGCCACTACCTGAATACACCACACACACACACACACACACACACACACACACACACACACACACACACACACACACACACACACACACACACACACACACACACACACACACACACACACATTCAATTATGAGTTATTGATTTCTCGGCAGAGCAGCACCTGATCTGGTCAGACTCTGTGTGTGTGTGTGCGTTTCTTCCTGTGTGTGTTTGCAGGTAAACAGCTCCTCCTGCTGCTCAGTTGGAGTCATTACACCTCAGGTAATACGGAATTTTTCAGGACAAACGACATGCTGTGCTAAATACCATTTTAATGAATTCTGTCGTTCTTTACAGTTAATATAATTTTTTATAATTTTTTTTGTTTTTTTGTAGATTATTGTTTATTTATTCAGTTTTTCATTTATTTCATCAGAGGTGTGTGTCTGCGTGTTACCTAGACGAGTATATCATTAAGTGTGTATCTCTCTATCCTGATTCATTAATACAATAATTCAGGACAGCCACAGGTGACATTTTATGCAAACAATATGTAATAAATCAGTTTGAATTGTAAATAAAACATTTAAACCAGAATATTTTGTAGTTTTTTTTAAGGAAAATGTGTCTTAAATGAAAAGAATACATTATTTGATTTAGTAAATAACCTCATGATATTATTTTATTTAAAAAAATTCCAATGTTTATTTTTTTACATTTATTTATCTCAGGATAGAAAATACATTGAATGTACAAACAGCAGGATGATGTCATCACCTGGAGACACAGGTGCATTCATCAGGAGGGGGTGTCCTCACCTGTGACGCTCTGAAACACAAAACACCAACACATTTAAATACTCACATTCATCTTTATTTATTTCATATTGTATGTGTGTGTGTGTGTGTGTGTTTGGGTGTGTGTGTGTGTGGGTGTGGGTGTTTGGGTGTGTGTGTGTGTGTGTGTGTGTGGGTGTGTGTGTGTGTGTGTGTGGGTGATGGGTGTGTGGGTGTGTGTGGTGTGTGTGGGTGTGTGGTGTGTGGGTGGTGTGTGTGTGTGTGGGTGTGTGGTTGTGTGGGTTTGGCCTTGTGGGTTGTTTGTTTGTGCTGTGGCGTTGGTGTGGTGTGTGTGTGTGGGTGGTGTGTGGTGTGTGGTGGTGGGGTCTTGGGTGTGTGTGTGTGTGTGTTTTGGTGTGGTGTGTGTGTGGGTGTGGGGTGTTTGGGTGTGTGGGGCGGTGTGTGTGTGTGGGTGTGTGTTGTGTGTGTGTGTTTGGGTGTGTGTGTGTGGGTGTGGGTGTGTGGGTGTGTGTGTGGGGGTGTGTGTGTGTGGGGTGTGTGTGTGTGTGTGTGTGTGTGTGTGGGTGTGTTACCTTCAGGTTGAGGAAGTGTGTGTGTGTCCTGCAGTGTGTGTGTCGTGCTGTCGTCTCACTGAAGAAGAACTTGTTACACAAGCGACACAGGAAACCAGAAACTGGAAGCACAAAACTACTTCCTGTTGACACACACACACACACACACACACACACACACCCCACACACCCACACCACCCACTACCACAACACGACACACACCACACACACACACCCACACACACACACCCACACACCACACACACACCACACCACACACACACACACACACACACACACACACACACACACACACACACACACACACACACACACACACACACACACACACACACACACACACACACACACACACACAGTTATTAATATCAGTTTTGACAAAATGGTGGAATGAGCTCCCCATTGACATCAGGACAGCAGAAAGCTCACACATCTTCCAGAGCAGACTGAAGACTCATCTCTTTCGACTCCACTTCGAGCGATAGAATTGCTAACAAAGCACTTATATACTAACAAAGGACTGGCTTATCTAAAGCTAGTTGAGTAGCACTTGAAATGTTTTGGCTAAACCTGATGTACTTATATGATTCTGTTTTCTTCAAGTTTGTATCTTCCTGGTCGAATGCACTTATTGTAAGTCTCTTTGGATAAAAGCCTCAGCTAAATGTAATGTAAGGTAATTATATACATGTATATTATTACATGATTTATTGTACTTAGAGGAGGTGTGATACAGTGATAACAGGAATTAAAGTAACAGCAGGAACATACCATATATAGTGTGAGGGTCATATTCCTGAGTTTCCTGAAAAAAGAGAAGACACGCACAATTAAAAGCTTAGCGGTGGTGACGTTAAGTCATGTGACCGTGCTGTAGTTCCTTTATAGCCCAACATTAGCCACCTTTAGCTTAGCGGTGGTGACGTGAAGTCATGTGACCGTGCTGTAGTTCCTCTAAAGCCCAACATTAGCCACCTTTAGCTTAGCGGTGGTGACGTGAAGTCATGTGACCGTGCTGTAGTTCCTTTATAGCCCAACATTAGCCTCCTTTAGCTTAGCGGTGGTGACGTGAAGTCATGTGACCGTGCTGTAGTTCCTTTATAGCCCAACATTAGCCTCCTTTAGCTTAGCGGTGGTGACGTGAAGTCATGTGACCGTGCTGTAGTTCCTTTATAGCCCAACATTAGCCTCCTTTAGCTTAGCGGTGGTGACGTGAAGTCATGTGACCGTGCTGTAGTTCCTTTATAGCCCAACATTAGCCACTTTTAGCTTAGCGGTGGTGACGTGAAGTCATGTGACCGTGCTGTAGTTCCTCTATAGCCCAACATTAGCCACCTTTAGCTTAGCGGTGGTGACGTGAAGTCATGTGACCGTGCTGTAGTTCCTTTATAGCCCAACATTAGCCACCTTTAGCTTAGCGGTGGTGACGTGAAGTCATGTGACCGTGCTGTAGTTCCTCTAAAGCCCAACATTAGCCACCTTTAGCTTAGCGGTGGTGACGTGAAGTCATGTGACCGTGCTGTAGTTCCTCTACTACCGCCCTGTTTCTATACTTACCTCCATCTCGAAAGTCATGGAAAAAATAGTATATGAACAGGTCGAAAAGTACCTCGCAGAAAAGAAACTAATCTATGAATTTCAATCTGGCTTTAGAACATCCCACTCCACTGACACATGCCTTCTTTATTTGAACGACCACATCAAACAAGAGGTGGACGAGGGTAAATACTGCGGCATGGTGATGCTGGACCTACAAAAGGCTTTCGACACTGTCAATCACCCCATTCTGATTGACAAGCTAAAAGCAATTGGTTTTGATAAACTATCGGTGAGCTGGATGCAATCCTACCTGGAGGGGAGAGAACAGATGGTGGAGGTAAACGGTACTCTGTCCCCCCCCCTCCCAGTGAGCTGTGGTGTTCCACAAGGAAGCATATTAGGTCCGTTACTGTTCCTAATTTATGCAAATGACATGTCATCAGCATGTGACTGCAACTTGTTCCTGTTCGCGGACGACTCAGCCCTGCTGGTCTCTGACAGGAGCAGATTGCAGGTTGAAAAAACCCTCAGCTCCGAGCTCGGCAGAATCTGCACCTGGCTCGCCGATAATAAATTATCATTACACCTGGGTAAAACAGAGTCCATTCTCTTCGGTTCGAAACATAATCTCAGCAAATCCGACGACTTCTCAGTTGCAGTGGGTGACATTATTGTCACAAGTAAGAAGGAAATTACATACCTAGGATCTATTCTTGAGGCAAACCTCTCCTGTGACAAAATGGCATCCAATGTAATAAAAAAGTCAATCAAAGAACTAGATTCCTATACCGGATCTCCTCTCTGGTAAACAAAAACACCCTGAAAACTCTGGCAGGAGCACTCATTCAAGGGTACTATGACTATGCTTGCACGTCATGGTACCATAGCACCTCCAAGGCGCTAAAAATAAAACTTCAAACATCGCAAAATAAACTGGTCAGACTACTGCTTGACCTTTCATCTAGAACCCACCTCACCTCTGCCCACTTTGACAACCTAGGATGGCTTAGAGTAGACGACAGAGTACAGCTACTTGCAATGGGCCTGGTCTACAAGATCCACTACACCTCTATGGTACCCATGTACATGTCAAAATTCTTCCCAAAGGTCAAGGAATACCATGATCATAACACCAGAGGGAGCTCCACAAATCATGTAAAACCCAGATTTGGCACAAAAAAAGGGGAATACACGTTTCGCAATTATGCCACATCAAGGTGGAACGCTCTTCCCACAACTGTAAAGGAAAGTAAAACTATACTTACCTTCAAAACCTCTCTTAAAGAGCACCTTCGGGGGAAAGCATTGCAAAACTGGCCCCGGTAATGGTACAAATCTCAACCTGTCGTACAATGGACAGCTTCCCCCCCCCATCTATGTATATACTCGCATTTTAGACTCTGTTACTAACTGTATATCTGTAGACTTGGTATGTCTTAAATGTCCGGTTAGGATGTATTAGAACGAAATCTAAAATGAAAAATTGTAAATAAGCCATCTGTATGTAAAAACCACCTGTATGTAAATTGTAAATAAGCCATCTGTATGTCAAATATGTCTTATATGTCTTAAATGATATGATGAATTGGAAATGGGGGACCCTGATGTAAACAAGACGAAAGTCTTTCTCTGGTCTGCATCCCCTTAACAATTGTATGTTTTGAGCTGTACTGTACTGTACCCAATATACAAGCTGTTAATAAACTTTTCAATCAATCAATTCAATCAATCAATATAGCCCAACATTAGCCACCTTTAGCTTAGCGGTGGTGACGTGAAGTCATGTGACCGTGCTGTAGTTCCTTTATAGCCCAACATTAGCCTCCTTTAGCTTAGCGGTGGTGACGTGCAGAAACACAACATCACTGTATATACAGGCTACAGCTAATGTTAGCATTTAGAGACTCACCTCAACGTCTGCTTTCACTACTTCTGCTGCTTCTTCTTTTCCTGCAACTATCTCTTCTTCTTCTTCTTTAGCTACTTCTAACCTACCCCCCCCTCCCCCTCCTCCTCCTCCTCCTCCTCCTCCTCCTCCTCCTCCTCCTGGAAGCAGCCCACAGCGTCCACAGTGATCAGCTCCTCCTCCTGCAGCTGCACCTGCACCAGCAAACGTTAGATATCAGAGACAAACTAGTAACACACATTCCAGGTTTTCCAGTTTCTAAAATGTGAGGGATTCATGTTTGTTGTATATGCATCTTCATATAACAGTTACTCGCTGAGTCTCATTAGGTCATGATACTAATGGGCAATTAAATACACTTTAAAAAGGCCCTATTCTGCTTTTGGGGTTTCCCTCTCCTGCAAAAAGGCTAAAATCCCAAAGTTCTGGAACATAGTGACATCAACATGGCATCATCCTATTGGCTAGCGCTCCAACACATTGTACGTGATAGGCTAAGGGGCGGGACATCTGTAAGCAATCACAACATAGCCCGCTGACCAATCAGAGCCCGTTTAAGCTTTACTTTAAACTGGGTTACAACAGACATTTCTACAGGCTGTTTAAAGTGAATGAATATAATGAATATAATAATATGACAAAGTGTACTGACCTGCTCCTTGTGCTCCGCAGACTTCATGTGCTCCACAAACTTGCGAGGAGTCCTGAAGGGACGTTTACACACCGGACAGAAGGGTCTGCACAGCTGCTTACACATCTACACACACGCACACACACACACACACACACGCACACTCACACAGTATTACATATGGCTATGAAGTTAATAAATGAATAAATGAGGGGACATTTATTTTAATAACAAATACAAAATAATAAAAATATGGCTGTGAAATACATCCTTTTTAATTTTCCATTCCTTAAATGAAATGGCAATAAACCAGCGACCAATCAGAACCTGCTGTGCTAGTGATGTCATCAGTGCTGTTTCCCACCTTGTGTTGTTTGGTCCGTCGATGGACGATGACATCATCGCTGAAGTGAGTCTGACAGGCATCGCACCATACCTGAGAATCAGGCCGACGCCCCCTGAGGAGAGAGAGAGTGAGTGTGTGTGTGTGAGAGTGAGTGTGTGTGTGTGTGTGTATACCTCTCCTGCAGTGTGTGTGAGTGAGTGTGTGTGTGTGAGAGTGTGTGTGTATGTGTGTGTGTATACCTCTCCTGCAGTGTGTGTGTGTTGAGGCTGATGGAGTGTGTCATCTCCTTCAACTTCTTCAGGTGCTCTGATCCCGCCATGTGTTCCTGAAACACCTGGACACACACACACACACACACACACACACACACACACAGAGATTAAAGTGTTAAATTCACAAGAAAAACACTTAAATATATGAAATAAGTGATAATGAGGACGGGCCGTTACCTGTAGAGAGCGACAGGTGAGCAGACAGACGTGACAGTGGAGTCCGCCTGTCTGTCTCTCTGAAGACCCGTCTGTCTGTCTGAACGCTCGACTCTCACTGCGCTGCTGGATCGTGACCTTTAGTGACCTCACACCCTGCAGCTGACACACACACACACACACACACACACACACACACACACACACACACACACACACACACAGACAGACAGACATAACTATATAAGTCAATTGAGTTCAAACATTTTAAATATATTACTAATAAATAAATAAATAAGGCAATATAGTTAAATACATAATGTATGATACACACAGGAAGTATTACAACACTCATTCTATCCATGATTATTGATTGATCCATTTATAATGATGAATGAAACTGAGCACCTCTGCTGCCCCCTGCTGGTCGGGAGGAGACGCTCTGCAGGAAACTCCATCTGACGCACAGCAACAAATAAATCCATCAGAACATTTTTAGAAATCCTCTGAGATTAAAATCTTTAAAATGTACGAGAAAACTGTCAGAAATTCATGAGAAAAAGGTGCAAAATCTCTGATATATAGTTTTTGAAAAGTTCAGATATAGATTCTGAGATTAAAGTGAAATTGACAAAATAAAAACTCCCATATTTATTTGAAATCTCGTATTAAAATCGTACATTTACTACAAAAAAAACAGTAATTATTCTGTGTGAGAGTGAGTGAGTGTGAGAGTGAGTGAGTGTGAGAGTGAGTGAGTGAGTGTGAGTGTGTGTGTTTGTGTGTGTGTGTACAATTACATTTTAATTTAATCTTTTTTTAATATTACCTGAGATTAAAACAGTTTGAAAAACAGTTTTACGATAAAAAATTACTACAAAATAACTCAGATATTTCCTACGATTAAAGTTCAAAATGTGCACAAATAAAAAATCACAAATCTATCAGGTTTTTATTTTTTTGGCGGAAATTAAAATCGTACATTTACAAGGAAAAAAATGTGATTAAATTAAAATAATTAAATTATGTATTTTTTTTTTACATTTGCTACAAAATAACCGAACATTTATGAGAAAAAAATCCTCAAATAAATATACTAGAAAACCAATAGAAATACTGTATCTGTGATCAGTGGCGATTCTAGGGTCTGTGGGGGCCCTAGGCAAGCATTCATTGGGGGCCCCTCGAACCAGCTTTTCATCACCATCAGTGGCGCCCCAACACATCCTATATTTACGACAAACAACACACCTGCAGGGGAGCAGCTCTCTGGTTGGTCACATGACCCCGGGACCTTCTGTCTATTGGTCAGAGCCTCCTCCGTCCTGAGTACAAAAGAAAAAACATTTATATTTCCACAGTTCAAACACAAATCACTCACTGAGCGGAGGAACCGCCAGATATCTTGATAAACAATACCAAAAGTTTAAGGAGCAAAAAGAGAATGATTTAGGAGGGGAAAATAACCCAAACTGTACGAGAAAACATTTGAATTTACTAGAAAATATATTGAATATTCCCTGGGATTTAAATCGTACATTTCAGAGAAAAAAACTAAGAAATGAATGAGAAAAAAACAACAATATTTTCTGCGATTAAAGACCTTAAAATTACAAAATAAACACTAAAAAAAAGTTACTAAAAATCGAAATATTTTAATTTAAAGAAAAAAAAAACACACATTTTAGAGGAAAAATGTCAAAGTCCACACGGCAGCGTGCGTTGAAGCCTGCCGGTGGGCGTGTCTGGTGTGCGACCAACAACCAATCACATCTCCCGCCCCGGACACACAAGCACACAGTTTGATTGGCTAGAGCTTGTACTGGCATATGATTTGATTGGCTGGCGCTTCCGTCGAAGCTTGAAAAGTTGAACTTTTCCCAACTTTCAGCGCGAGCGACGGAGGCAAAGCGAGGCGACGGAACCACAATGCAGTTCAGCAAAGCGTGACGTCACCCCATTCAAAGTGAATGATAAGCGTCTCCGTTGAAGCACGCGACGCTGCCGTGCGGACGGGCCGTAAGTGAGAAAGACATGTTTGAACTATTTGAAATGAAAGTCTTACATTTAGGAAGAAATTACTAAAATGAAAGAAAAAAAATACATTTTAATAGAATATTCATATAGAATCCAATTAGATTATAGTGAAGTGATTACGAGTACAATTAAATATTAAAGCAATGGGTTATAAACACATTGATGTTAAAAGTGACGGTGATGTAACTATAGAGTGGTGCAGGAATGAGTCCTAAAACCAGGAAGTGAGTCAGCATTTCTCCACTTCCTGTTCACTCTCTCAGAGCCAATGGGATCTCTCCATAGGATGTTGGAAACTAGCTGGAACTAAGGTCTGAGGTTGAGACACATTGAAGAGACGGATCACGTTTTGTTCTAGGACATTAAATCCATCAGCAGTGACCCCACTGGTGATTCCTGAAGAGTTGACGTGTCTGAAAAACGATGGTTGTTACCGAGTGGCTGAATAGGACTACAGAAGTTGAGGACGTTGTACGTCATTACGCCGAACACGTGAACACTCCTCTAAGTTAGTTAGCCCTGTTCTGCTTGAAAGCAAGTACCTGCCTCCTGCAAAGTGTTCAAACAAACGCTTCAACCCGTACCATTTAGAATCTGTGTGTTTGAATATGGATCTGAAGTTGGCGTGACGTTGAAGTCGTGCTGCTGGACTCGCCTGTAGTTCCTTTATAGCATCACGTTAGCATTTAGCTTCTGGACATTAGATTTATGATTAGAACATTATAAAAGACGTCATATCGGACGTTTCTAGGGTATAAATCTGGACCGACCCCCCCTCCAGTCTGGGCCTCTTCGTCTCTCCTGAACCTCCGGCTGCTCCCGGGTCTTCTCTCTCTTCTTCGGTGGTGCCAGAGCTTCTCTCGGGGAATCGAACCCGCGGCACGCCTCCCCCTGCAGCCGGATCTGAAGTCCTGCAGGAGAACGACGAGACAAACCAGAGCTCAGAGCACAACAAGCGACTTCAAGAGTAAAACATATCTGACGCGTACGAGGAATCTGACTATATATATATATATATTCATTTATTTATTATTTAGACCTCCAGAAGTTCTCCCTGTCTTTGTAGTTTTTATATTTAAATATTGATTATTAACAAATCAAATAAAGGAATGAGTAATAATGACCTGTCAGTTCTCCTCTGCTGTCTGACCATCATGTGACTCTCTGACCGTCATGTGACTCTCTGACCATCATGTGACTCTCTGACCGTCATGTGACGCTCTGACCATCATGTGACGCTCTGACCATCATGTGACGCTCTGACCATCATGTGACTCCCTCTCTGCCCTGAGGGAAAGAGAGACTTCAGTTCAGATACAAGTACACATCTGAGAAGGGTTAACAGGACACATTCAGATACAAGTACACATCTGAGAAGGGTTAACAGGACACATTCAGATACAAGTACACATCTGAGAAGGGTTAACAGGACACATTCAGATACAAGTACACATCTGAGAAGGGTTAACAGGACACATTTAGATAAGGTGATATCGAGGACCGAGCATCGAGCGTCGAGGAGGCTCTCTGGAGGAGCTATAACCGAGGATACACTGATGGGTCCTCCACGGCTCCTTCGTGGATGCATTTCCCGGAAAGGTGGAGGTGTGACGCACGGCCGGACTGATCTCAGCCAATCAC